GCAGGGAGTGAAATGTCAATTTGTTTTGAAAATTTAATGCAGCAAGTTTGAAGACCAAGTTTTTGGGCCTGGATGGGTCGGTAATGCTAGTTTCGGCTGGTTTGAACATTATGATGTTGGCTGTTTTTACAACAACTAGTAGTGTGTGGGAAATCATTTCAGATTATTCGAACATTAACTAAACACTTTTGAGCCCTACGTGCCATCAAACCGTTAAATATGAGTTATGTTGTTTCACTGTGTCATGATTCGTGCTATGGTTCATAATGAGTTAGGACTTATATTATGGAGCTTGTTTTGTTAAAATTGAACAGTGAAAATAATCTAATTAGCCGGCTATTTTCTTTAGCTCCGGCTATTATGTTAATTTAATATCAGCTCTTAGTTAAGAAAAAAGGCCCATGAAATAATTGCATGGAATGATTACTATGTCATGGAATGATTAAAGTTACAAACAATCAATTATTTTGTTTAAATTGCAAGTGGCCGTAATTATCTAATTATTTATTTATTAAATAGCTTAATGAAATGTTATTTGAAGAAAAAATTTCTGAATGCTCCGAGCGATCTGTGAGTTGGTATTGACTCGTGTTTCTGTAAAAGGTAAGTCTTCATTTTTCTTCGAAGTTTTTTTGCAAGATGTGATTAATCTGATTTTTTTTTCAAGTAATAATTTCCATTTTTTGATGTAGCCTCTCTTGGGTATTGCCTGTGAGCGAGTTCTCTTATTTCTTTGCAGCATTGGTGTTCCATGGATAAAAAATTTTTGCTTGATTTATTACATTAGCGAACTTAAGTGAGAGTTAGTGTTATAATACGACTACTCTTTTTTTCTTACCCAGTCGCAAATATTGGGCCACCTTTGGGGCACATTTACGGCTTTTTCATAGCATGTGCTTTGAAATTCGAATACTAATAAGCTAACTCAGTTGATGCATTTTTAATTCATCAAATGAACCGAAAAAAAGTGATTTGTTTCAAACAACATAACAATAATGAAAACTCGATTTCAAAATTTTTCTTAATCAATATATCTTCATAATTTATACATGTGGCTTTATGCTTTGCGATTTGTTACATGCAAAGTTAGTGTGGTTGCCTTCAGTTTGTTTTATTCCAACTTATTTTTTTGCATAATTGAGTCTATTTGTCTTGTCTTTGGTGCCATTTCTGCTGAATCCCATTGGCAAGTTATTAGCATATGTAGCTGCTTTATTCGTGATTAGTGTTTGTCGGTTGTTAAGCTTGCGTGGCTAAGAGGATTGTGAGTGAAACTCAAAATCTCTTGATTGCAGTAGGTCGCAGATTCAAATCCTACACATAGCCGAGTTTTTGCTTATTCGATGCTTACTTCTACTTTTTCTCTTGATAGAGCTGCCTTTTGGTCGTGTTCTTGCATGTGTTTGCGAAGCGCAGCTTGGCCTCTGTAAAATTTTGAAATATTTTGCTTGGTATGTTTGTCTAATGAATTTTTATCGACACACGAAAAATTTGGTAGACTTATTTTTAGACTTGCGATCAGCTTAGTGTGTTATTACGAACCTTCTGTGTTTCTAACCCAACTCGCAAATGAAAGTGTTCAATAAAAGTGATCACTTATGTGGAATTTTCAATGTAGCATTGGAAATTGCATAGCATCCGTTCTCGGCTTTATTTGTGGCTAAGGTTTGGTATCTATCAAGATTTCGTGGTTAGTGTGTGAGTCTTTCAATATTTATGTCGCAGGTTCGAAACTCTTAGCCAATTTTTTTTTATTAATTCGAGATTTATTTATAATTTTTTTATTGCACTTTATAGAGCTGCTGTTTGTCATGTTCTCGCAAGTGTTTGCGAAGCAAAGTTCGCCTCTGTGTTTAGTTATTTTTTATGTTGTGGTTGATTGCAAGTGTGTCGAAGCTCGGCTTCACCTAGTTATTATTTTTTTTTATCCCAGAATGATTAACTGGAAGTTCGTAAGTTTTTGTGAATATTGTTCAAATCAATCTGTTCTGCCCTACTGATGAGTTTTTAAGGCAAACGTCCTTATCGAAGGCAAAAAAAGGAAGGCAAACTTCACTATCGAACAGCCGAAGTGTTGAAAAACGTGATCGACTTCTTATTTCGAAAATGGAATTTATTTAACCGATTTCCCAGTGAAATAGAAATTTAACCTATTGATCTGGTTTTCTCAAAATGGGTTCATTATATTTTAAAAAGTGTCAATCACAAATTGTTGTAGATGTTCAAAGAGCTTTAAGACCGTCTATTTTCTCTTGGAAATTCGAAAGATCGGGAAAGTTAAATTTTTTTCAGTATCTCTTTGTTTACGCGCGTTCATTGACTGTTTGTTGGCTATGTTTTTCCCAGAAAACAGACTTTGATTCTCTAATTTATTTGCTGAATTTTTGTGTAAAATTGTAGATTTTGTAAGAAAACTTCTCTATATGTTATATAGGATGGAATAAATTATTTTACAGTAATTACAAAAATTTTGTTTGCTTGTTTTGTTTGAGCTCAACGTCAGACAATTCCTTTCAATGTTAACGTCAAGATAATCTAGCAGTGATGTCGACATCATCTAGTGTGTTCTTGCACTAATTCAGGAGATTTTTGCTCTACTATCAGAATGAGATCTGCAATTTGAATAGCTCGATTTGGTTAATCAAAGCTGAATAAAAATCATGATTGCTAAGGATGAAAACCCTTGGTTCGAGAACTGTGCCTCGTGGTACAAAACGATTGAAGGTTTCTCGTTCAGATAATGTACTACTAAGTATTACTGCCTGAGTTTGTGAAGCTTATTTGTTCATGCAAGGTTTGAACATTTCTTTCTCCATGATTTGTATATTCATAGGACCAGTAGCTTCATTAATTTGTGATTTATCAATTGAATGTACTTTTAGTAATTGATTTTTCACAGATTCTAGTTTAAAAAAATAGTAATTGGTCTAAATTCGAAACTTTTCCTCACAGTGAATATATTCAACCCCGACTACTCTAGAAATTCTGCTTTGTATCTACCAAGTTCTGCGAAAGCACATCAATCTTATGTTGCTATATTAAATAAATAAGTTAGTTGTTCGCCTGTAGGAGCAATTAATGAAACTGTTTTCGTGTGGGTTTTGCATTTCCCTTATTTTGAGTTAATAAAGTTCCATTGTTCTTTCGTGTTTGTTTTTTTTATTCTGAAATTTTTTTTGGATATTCTCGTCTTTAACTTATTTTCAAAATTTTTTGTCTCGTGTCGCGTTGCTCGGCATATGTGGTAAAAGTTTGCTGTTAAGTTTCAGTAGTTCAGTTACCATAAAAAACTATTCTCGGGTAATTTCCAAAAAAAAAATCTTTTTTTTTCTGATCCATCAAGTAACCCGATCCATTGAACTGCCAGAGGGCCTGGGTGTACTTCGATGTCTCGTGATGCATGAGGAACCTAAGTTAGTGGCAACCTCCTAGTTTTTTTATATAGGTACCTGTAACAGTTTAAGTAAGATTGCAAAAAGTTTTTCATGGTTGAGCAATTTATTTAGTGCTTTTTCAAGTAAACTGCGATCTAAAAATTTTTTGAAGTTAAATATAAAAACTTAAATTTTGTTTCTTTTCTGATCAAAAGGTTTTTCTCTCAACTTGTTTGGTTTGTACGTGTTATACGTACAATATTTGAGCTGGAATACAGTGCTGATTTAAATTAACCGGACAAAACGTGTTAAACTTGAAATTTGTTACCAATTTTTTTATTTAAAAACAATTTTTAAACGGTTTGCAATTTTTTTTTGAAGAATATACCCTTCTCAAAGTTTGTTGGGCTACGTAAGGGGCTCACTTTGATATAATTATGGCTGTGATCGAATGGGTACTTTTGGCGTAATTTTTAATTAACTAAGAAAAGCCAAAATGACACATTTTTGGGGTAAAATTTTGGGCCCGAATTTCGCAAAACAAATTACACCAAATAATTCTGCTAAAATTTTGAGCAAGTTTTGTCTTCATAAATTTTCTCCTAAACTCAACCCAATTTGAGAAAAACGCGTTTTAAATTTCAAGTTTAACGAGTTTTGTCAGGTTAATTTAAATCAGCACTGTATATGTTGTACGTATTGTGTTCTCGCTAGAATTCTGAGCGAGAAAAAACCAAGGTCGTAACTAATGAGTTTTCTGGTGAACGAAGAACAGTGTGTGAAAAAAGCAAAAAAACTGAAAATCGAAACAAATTTCACAAATTGTTCAGGCGCTGTTTTAAAGTTGATTTTGCGTATTTTATGACATTGAATTCTGCTTTTAAATACCGAAATTTATGTCAGTTCGATATTCTTTGTTGACTTGTAATTTCCTAATTACGGTTAATTTACGTATGAAATAAAAAGTTGTCAATCAGCCAGCTACACGAAACCGATCTGCCTCAGAACCGAAACGAGGCAGAAATATATTGCTTTTGTGTAACTCTGAATTTAGATTTTTGTACGACCCCTTCAGAGATGTTCATTTGTTTGCCACTCAAGGTTGTGGTTGACCAAATGATTTGTACCATTTTCTAGATACCACTAATATTTAGATGCACACCATCTGATATATCACCCTTGTCAAGTTTTTGGCCCGTCCAAGTATAGAGGCCATCTACTTCGGTAACAATTTCTAAGTCTGGTCATTAGACTGAATTTATCAGCGTATCCGAGATACTGGGATTTACTTTTGGATAATCTGCCTTCTCGGACTGTGAGAAAGAAGTGGATTGATTGCTAGATTTGTCAATAAGTTGTTCTATTAATTCATTTTTTCATTTAGTTGACTTATTGTAGTAAAACTTGGTTTGGACTAAGTTCATCTTTCCGAAGATATATTTTTTCGCCATGCATAAAGTTGTAAAGTTACTGGACACACCTTAAAACTGAAGGTGTTTTTTCAAGGTTCGTTAGTTGTCAAATTTAAATTACAACACTGCAATTTGGGGCCGGAAATCTCAATAGTCTGCTTTATTACAGAAAAAAAATTGGCATTGTAGTGAAACTGTGAGCTGTTTTGATTAGGTACGTTGCTCTGTTCGTGCAAAACTTTGTCAATCTTTTCTCTAAGAAGAGTCAAGATCTTCCCCGACAGATGCAGTTCCTCCTGTTGCCGGGAACTCACTTCTCCATGCTGAGAGCATGTGACAACATGGGGTTCCTAGAGAAGTTTTCCGAGTACTTCACCAAGGCAAGTAGTTAAACCAACGCCAACATATGCATACAAATAGCGATGGTTTATAAAGTGCGGCCAACGAAACTATTTGGCGCATTATGAAGCTAATTGTGTTTATTAGTAGGCGAATTTGATTTTTGTAATCAATCTGGAGAATTATATTGCAGTGTGAAAACGAGTAAAATCATTCAAATCATTAAAAATAAAAGGAAATAGATTTATGAGAATTTGAACTTCTATCCTTGTGATTTTATAATCATTAGCTTCGCTGTTTATGGTTCCAGCTGGAGTCGGCAGCTGTCCTGTCGGGGGGAAGTGGTCCGACAACTGGGGGAGGGGGAGTGGGAGGGTTAAGCGGAGGAGCAGGTGGGTCGGTGGAGTACTCCAACAGTCTGGCGGAGAGTGTGGTCAACTACATGGAGATGCCCAAGTCCACCTCACTGGTCAATCTACCAATCAGGTATGCTGTCAATCGAACAAGAATAGAAAAAGGAGAATTTTGCTGTCAGACAAAAGTTGAATATAAGGAGTTCACTATATTTGGCAGAGCGTAGAATTTTTCAAGAGCTGAGATTGTTAATGAAAATTGGCTTGGCATGCAAACCTTACCCGAAATATTGCAAATCGAGCTAATTGTGTGCGAACATTTTAAGTTTATAATGATTTTAAAGTTATGGTATAAAAATGATTGTATGAATTACAACCATATAGAAAAAAAATGGCTCATTTGGTTTGTCAACATTGTTCCTAGTTATTAACTACCGATCATAAAAGTAAGGGTGCCAAATAAGATAATGACGATGTTGCTTGTATTTTCTTTGAGGAAGTAGTGGATAAGTAGCCGCCTCGCAAGTGAAAAATACGCAGTTCGAGTCCCATCATGATCCTTGCTCTTTGCTTGTGGGTAGGACTACATTATACACCTAAAAATAATAACCCAAAAGGGCTTAGTTGAGGTACACAACATGGGTTCTTTGTAAGGAAACTGAGCGGCTGGTATGGTGGTCCTTTTTTCTGGTAGATGAATATTCTTAACAATTTAGTGAGGCACTGTTGCATTTTGTGGCGAGTGAGGATCACAAAGACGCTTCCGGCTCCACAAAACAAGTTTTCGTCCCCTTTCTCAACTACCTCAGACTGGGATCCCTAGACACAAATACAAACACAAGCAACGCCAGCAACAATGCCACCACCAGTCAGACTATACCACATCAACTGGCCGAGGAAGAAGAGGAACCTGAGAGGTAGGAGAGATCTCGTTAGATCTTAGGAGCTCGCTCGAACCAAATTGTGTCTTCATTGCAAAAAAATACCTATTTGCTTAAAATTATGTTTTTTATAATGGTTTTCTTATATTTATTCATACAAAATGTCTTATTTTTACAAAAGTAGTAAGATTGTTCAGAGAGCTTTTAAATTTTCGTATGTTTCTGTTGAATACATTTTCTGTTCAGCCGAAGAAAAATATTGAGATCTTCAAAATTGTCGTTATGATGCTGTCAAACTCAAAATCAACTCTAATTAGTCCAAGAGTTTTCTTTTGTTCATCATAGGTATCCTCCTAGTCCTCCTGATCCCCAGTCGATGTCACACCACCAACACCTGCTGCAGCACCAGACCTCCTTCTCCTCTTCTACCGCCCCCACCCACAGTCCTAGTCAGAATCTCACCCACGCTACTACAATACAGGGGCCAATGTCAGCATCAGGGGGTGCAGTGTCACTGGGCGATGGAGGTGGTGGGGTCAGTTCTCTAGGCAGTCCGACCACAGTGCAACTCACGGGGAGTGGTGCGAAAGATTCAAGTGGAAATACTAGTTCAGGTTGATTCATTTAAAATAGTTATCATATTCCAGCCAGGCAGCAATTGAGAGACTGCGCCGTGTCAATCAGTCTTCCAGTAGATGTTCGGTTATTTTTTATGCACTCGATAGTTTTTGTTGAATAGTACTGAAAATTGCAAAGAACAAAGGCTACGAGTGTTTTTTTAACGCAAAATCAGCTATCATAAATACCCAGCAGATTGGTTGATTGATAGATCTTAAAGCCCTTTCAGGCCTATTTGTTTTGAAGTGGAAAAAAAAGTTTTGCTAGTTCTAGAAGCTTACGGTAGCGCCCCCTTGATTTTTAAATTTTTGCGCATTAAATATTTTGGCGATACTTACACATAAATGGGCTGCTCTTTTTGCATGGTGTATTTATTTGAAAATAGACTAATTAAATCTTATTCACTGATTTCATCAAAACTTGTCAAACCACCCTTAAATGGTATTCATTCATCGAATGTACTACTTGTTGATACAGAAATTTCAAATATCATAGTAGCATGGGGGAGAGAGCTGGCTGGGGTTGGAATTGTAAGCTGACGTTTTTTAGGAGGTAACACTGGTCAAATATCTTCTGGAAGTCAACAGCAACAACAAGTGACACCATCATCTACATCAGGATCAACTGGCGGCACTGGTTCTGTGAATGGAAGTGGAAGTATATCTTCTGGAAGTGAGTTTCAAATAGATGTCTGGGATAGCAAACTGGAGCACCAGACTATCAAGGGACACATCTCGGTAAGAATTCAATTGCTTAAATTATGACCAAATTGTCCTTGCATTGAAGAGTTGTCTAACACTGGGTTTCGGGTTTTCCCGGCGCAAAAGCAGCACCTCAAATTAATGTCAGACGGGGTTGATTGAAAAAACGTCGTATAAAAGCCTTTTTAGCCAAATTTCGTGCAGTAATGAAAAATTTCGAAGATTCTGTGGCAAAAAAAGCTAACATTTTTCCTTTTCGTTATGAATCATCCATCAACGACGTTGTTGGTTACGTAAAGAGACTTAAGTGTATTTTTATGGGTAATTTTGCTGTAAGTAACTATTTCTCCTAAAAAGCGTTAGTTAAATAATTGGCGAATATGCAAGTGTTGGAAATATTCTGCATTTTATAACTAAGTAAGATTGTCAAATTATTGAGAAGTACTTGACTTTTGGCACCCTTGTAATTGTGTGTGGTGTGTTGTAGTACCTGCACATCCAGCGGACTTCGTTGAGCTGCTTCTCGGTGCAGTTGATGACGAAGGAGAAGAAGAGGATGGGCATCAAGATCAAAAAGAACAAAGACAAGGTCAGTCGGTCATCTCACTCTGTCTAAACTACTAAACCATCTCCTGCTCCTTTCCACTTGTTCATTCGTATATTTTATTCAGCTTACATATTCATGTTGAGTTTAAGCATTCATAATGGAAAATGAGAAAGAAAGTTCAGATTGTTGCATTGGCTGTACGTATCTGTATGTAGTTTTCTTTTCGTTGATATTTTGCAGGATATTTTTTGGGTGGCACCCTGAAAAGATGTTGGAAATGGAGGAATTGGCAACCTCAAGCTGTATTTTTTAAATCGTTATCAGAAAAGTTAGCCTCTTTTTTTCTGATAGCAGAGTCAGAACAATTTTCAAAACGTTAATGAACAAAGTCTTTTAGCTAGGTTGTGTGGTTTTTTTTTCAATATTTCCCACCGGAACAAAAACTATCTCTTGATGTATTTTCTTCAAATTAAGTTAGTATTATCAAAACAGTGTCGATCAGAAAAAATTCTTGAAATTCAATAGTTTGAAGGTGATGTATATTTTGATCAAATTCCGAAATTTTTCTGTCTGTCTCCTTAATTGGCTATATTTAGACAATCCGTTCCTGTGTTAATGGATTGAATTGCTATTGTGTGTTGGTATGTTTTGAAATAGGAGAAGGATAGAGACAGGACTCAGCTGGTGGAACTAGAGGGAGTGACTAGACTGTTGTGTTCCTGCAAGGCCCCCTCCTCCGCCGCCATGACCACCCTAGTCATAGACGGATGCCAACAGTTCCCACCCGTCAAATTTTTCCAGGTATCACACCGAAATTTTTATGTAAATTTAACATAAGTTCCACGCAAGTATTTTTTTGTTCAAAATTCGGCACACGTTTTTTCAATTTTTTTTTTCACCATAATACTTTTTCGTTTATACGTTCATTTCATACGAATGCCAAAATTGTCCACGCCAGCCAGTTAGTAGTTTTCATAGTAGTAAGCAAGGATATCGAGGCTGATATTATATTTATAAAGCGATTTGAGAGCGGTAAGTTTAACCGGCAATGACTTCGGCTCTGTTTAAACTGTTTTAAATTAATTCCCCAGAAAACCGAATAAATCGCCGAGATTTTTTTCTCAGAGAATTTTGCGTCTGCGCGTTTTTTTGTTGAAAACGCAGTTGTTGAAACGCAAACAATTCAAAGTTTTAAATACCAATACCGTTGTCATCATTAAAAAAACAGGATTACCAAAAGGTTTCACAAGGCTGCGTTTTTGTTTTTTAATTTGAACGTACGTTTGGTTGACATCTTGTTTTTTGATGGTTTGCTGTGTTGGATACGAGGTATATGAGGCCGCTAATTCAAACCACTGGGTCGCCAATCACAAAAACTAACCCGCACTCAGTATTTGAGATAATATTTTGATAGAAAAAGGGATTATAATCAATTATAAGAGATTTTAGGAAAACTTATAATCAATTATAATTGATTATAATTTATTAAAATGTCACCAAAAATGTTATCATTATAATGGATTATTAATCGTTCAAACATCTAAATTTGGCGCTTATAATTAATAATAATTTTGCTAAAAGTACGATTATAATTATAATATAATCGATTATTTTCTCTTTTTACTGAGTGCGGGAAAGGATGTCAGTTAACAGTGTTAAATAATCATTAACTTCACGATAAGTGGGGGTTTTGTTTCAGGTGTCACATCAGTGGCCAACACATGTGAAATCATTTCCAGTTCTCCTCCCAGGAGCCACTCCCCTGGCACCCTGAAAAGCAAACAGAACTGAACATGTCGATTAAACTAAACTGAATTAGGTGGACTGTAGACATGAATACATGGCCATCGTGAGAAGGAATCAGAATCGAAGAGATTCGGTATTTTAGATAATCTTTCATGAAAGAAAAATCGATTGTTACGCAATTGATTGTTACAGACAGCATCCTGCCTTTAAATGGATGGAATAGTTGAACGAAAAAAAAACTTGATTAAAATTGAAACTTGATCTTTGGATTTATTTATTCAGTGATCTTTGGATTTATTTATTCAGTCGATGAATTTGAATGTTGATACTAAGTGGTTTCAACACCCTGGTATCTGTTACAAATTTATGTTTGTTATTGATTAGCATGACGATGAAAGGATTTGTTGATACGTTTTAATACCGCAATGATTAATAGTTAGCTTAAAGTAATTTATTCTTTGTACATTTTTTTCCTAGGTATGAGACAATTCGATCATTTCAGGTTCGATTTTGGTTTGGTCTGCTTGCGATTAGATTTTTTGCGGCTTAGCAACTTAAAACAAAATAGTTGAGAGTTTAGTAAAAAACATTAAAGCCAAATTCCCATGCAAAACACCAATTGCTTGCTTTGCGTATTGACGTTTTCTCTCTTCCCTGAAAAAAAACTTTTCTCTGAGTTCTGCACATACGTTTGCTTGGTCGAACTGAATTTGGTACACCAAGAATACTACCAGTAATTCTTTTGCCTGCTATTTTATATGTGCGTAATACTGTGAATTTAAATTATTCATTTTGACAAAAACATTCAATTCAAGTTAAGTTATGTTGAATCGATGGTCACCTTTTCTATTTTTTCCTACATGCCCCTACATTGAGATAAGATTAATTACCGAATTGAGCCCGTAAAACTAGATGTGCCTAAGTACTCAGATAGCTGAAAATTTTTTTCTTGGGGTAACCAAAAACTTAGCTAAAATCTATCACGAAAGCGTCAAATACTAAATATTGTAAGCTTTGCGTAGCTACCGATCATCGACGTGTGTACTTTCTTAAAGTTTACTCTTAGTTTAAGCTAATTTTAATTATACTTACCGCTAGCATACAAAATAGTTTCAGCCATCTCGTGCGCGATTTGGCACACCATTGAAACACCTCTTCAACTTCAAGATGTATTTTATCATTGGTATATGCCTAAATAAACAATAGTTGCTATTATTTACCTTTGCGAAGAGTAGTGTATTATTACGAAAATTATTTCTAACCTAAGTCGCAAATAAAAATGCAATTTAATGATATTTAAGCTTAATTAAACAATTTAATGGCATATAGAGCTGGTTTATTTGTATTTAGTGTTAGGTCCTGTTTGAAAAAAAAAATCATATTGTTAAATTGCATGAGATCTTCTTATTAATTTTTTTTGAAATCTACGCAGAAATTTCAGTTTTTCTCAAAAACTACTGTAATAATTTTAAAAAATACCACCAAAAAAAACCGACTGCTGTTTTATGTGCATATTTTGCTAGTCGCTTTTGTGTTTACTTCAAGTTCTACGGCCTTCGAAAGTTTCAGTAAAGGGAATTTTGACCTATTTGTTTTGAATGTTTTCGTTTTATAAAACATTAAACGCACAAATATGAGATAAAAGTTTCAATCAATAGATCAACTTATGGGGATCTTCGCTTCTCACGCGGCTTTCCAAAAAGTAAAAAGATAAAAAAAGTAATTTCTCGTTAATTCTTATAAGTTTTGTTTTTTCTCAAAAACTATCTCGCAAAATTGGAGATTAAGGAGGTAACCGAAAACAAAAGTTATGTGAAATTTATCTGCTCAAGCGGCTATGCGCTATGCACTGCCTTTTGAACTTAAAGATGGCCTTGGAAAATGTCCAATTTTTGATTTTCACATGGTATTTTGATTTTCCCTGCGTATTTTGTTTGCTTGATTTGTTTGCTTGCTTTGTAGAAAAGCTGATATGGACTTTAGAGAAACTCTTTTTTTATATTTTTACCATTTTAAAAAAAAATTTCGTCCATAGTCTTGAACACTATTGGCTAAATCGGTTCGTCTAAAAAATTAGGGAGAGGAAATTTTCAATCTGAACACCAGGGTGTAGAAGGCAGAACTTGTTCCCATGCTTTGAAGAAGGAAAGTTTATGGATTTAGGAAAAATCAGTTTTTTGAAACTTGATTGACTTTTGAGATTTTTGTTTCTAATTTCCTTCGAAAGCTATTCAGCCAAATTTAAGATGAAGACTTCAGTTGAAAGAGAGAGTAGTATTTTTCTTCTTTAAACAAGCGGTTGATCCCCTAATTAAGCAGAGAGAATATGTTTCAGCGTTAAGTCCACTTTTTTGAAAAATTGAAAAGTACGCATTTCCGTATCAGTACAATATATATGATTGAAAATATTAGAACAGGTAGATCCATTTAAAACAGGTAGATTTATGGGTGGCTAGTGGTAGTAAATTTACAAGCGGTCTTGGAGCAGATGTGAGAAACGGATACACCTAGGCTCAACAAAACTTTTTTCACAGTGTAATTTGGATGAGATTTGAATTTAAATTTGAATTTTCTTCTTTTATGTTAATTTTAAGATTCATCAGCAGAATAAAACAATTACCCATTGACTCAGTTTTCTACAATTGGTTTTATTTTATTAAAAATTAAATCATTATAATGTTTCTAATTCGCTAATTCGAAAAGTTTTAACGTCCAGTGTTTTACAGAGTTATAAAAATTGAAAAACATTACGTAGTCAACATGTGCACTGGATTGGTGTACAGTTTTGTGTCTGTATGTGACTAGAATGCAGTGCTAAGTTTTTACACTGTGAAAAATTTGTCGGAACGATCAAAGATAATGAATGAACAAAAGAAGAACAAAGGGAGCAACCTTATTGTTGAATCAGCTTACAGTTCACAAAATGCACAGTAAGGGCCTCGTAATGACTGTTTAAATTATTTTTTGTAAATTTCTTGTAGCTCATTGACTTTTTTCTCAGGCTTTTTTTTATTTTCAGATATCTTCAGCAAAAATATCTTAAGTTTTGATATCTTCAGCAAAAATTACAGCTTAGGTGGCTATATGTTTTTGTTTATATCCTCTAGTGAGTTTAGTGTAGAGCTGATTTTTATTTGTTCTAGGTTTATTTTATCTCGCGAATAACTCGTTACTTAATATTTTAAATGTTTCAAGTGTCAATCAACAAAGTTAAAAATTTATTTAGTTCTTGTCATTTTTGTAGTGTTTTTAAGCAAAAAAATCTTTAAAACTGTTCATGCTCAGCATAAGTTTTTTTGCGGTGTGTTATTTTTACTTTTTTTTTAAATCATTTATAAAAAAGATTAGACGAGCAGGAAAGCAAATTAGCTCTTTAGTTATTGAAGTACTCGATAATAAATAAGCATTGAGTTTGACTGAAAAAAATTAATCTCCGTTTTTAATCAATAAAAATCTATTAATCCCGTATTATCCAACTGGGCTGGTATCAGCAAAAAAGTGTCCACTACAAAAGATTACTCTTAGAGTTTGAAGAGCCATATATTATAAACTGTTTATTTGAGAACCCGACTTCAAGGTTTGATGGGCCATTTTTCCCGTTGAGCTCAGTAGGACGATTGTAAGTTGGCTATATTTTAAGCAAACTTTTTGAGTTTTGTTGCTTCGATTGTCAGTTGGCTATTTTTTAAACAATTTTTTGAATTTTGTTGTTCAATGCTTTTTTCTAAATTACAGCAACGCCTTGATCTCAAATAAGAAATAATAAACAAGGATAACTGGTTACTGTGCAAGTAGCACAGAATAATCCTACCATAGTAGAAAAAACACGACAAAGTTTTTTCAAATTATTGTTTTTTTTCCGGCCTGGTGTAAAAAAAGGAGCCGAACAAATAAACTGAGGGTTAGGGATATTTGACAATCATTTTAAAGAAGCAAATTGAAAAACAATTTTTGTGGAAAAATGACTAGAAAAAATAAAATCGGAATCATAAAAAATATTTCCAAAATTTTTTAATTTAATAGTTTGTTGAGTTTTTGAAAAATTTGATTTAATTACTCAAAAAAGGCACTAAAATACTTAAAATTAACTAACGTTTTCAAATAAAATTAAGTTTTAACGCTTCAAATTAAGCTATTGCCTTGCAAGCTTTTAAGCAATTAAAATAAGACTGCTCGCTCGCTTTATTCGCTCGAAATATGACGGAAAATCAGAAATTTCAAACACTGTTTTTTTTCGACATTTAAAATTTTTTTATGTTGTTGAATCCCGACTGTCAGGGCTTTCGTATGATATATCGCTCAATCCAGTACGATGATTATATGTGGTACCTGAATTTGCGCGGAAAACAAAAGGAAAGAAAAAAACTAAACCCACCTGAGTACAACGATCCTCCTCATTTTCAATGGTCGGAACAATAAACAACGGTTGCTTTTCGTAATACTTGAATGGTTGAGATTAAGAGATAGACGCTGGACTAAATTATGCGCGCTTTTTTGTGATCATTACGTAATCGCAATTTTTTCAGCGCAATAGACTTGATCTTAATTCGCAAGCAGTCACATTCAATCCAAACTCGAGTTAGGCAATCTACATGGCACCAAAAATTCTTTATTAAACCCATTTATTTATTTTTTCTATTTTTGGAAAAAATTTTCAAACATAAATCTAGGTTTTCAAATTGCAGTGTACCCTCTGTGAAATTAGGTTTATTTAATAGAAATTGTAAAATCTTAGGCCATAGCCGAGAAAAAAATTGATTTTACGGAACTCGATGATTGACAGTGTAAGGTTCTTAGCTTTAGTGTTTGATGCCAAATTGGGACCAGGAAAATTGACTTTCTGCAGCCGAAAATCTATATTTTGCCAAATATTTGAGTCGCGCAAAGTCGCAACATACTTGAAAAAGGTTGCGCAATGTCGCAACATGGGTTGTGCGGAGTCGCAATATGAGTCGCGCATTATAAAAAACTTCAAGCCGTTTCAGTAAAGGAATTTTCGTCGGACTCTGTTTGCTCGCAAAAGCGCAGTATAAATGGAAATCGGCC